TTAATCATCTTATAATTACATCACAAACATTAAAATATTTTGATTATATATTAAATATATAGTTGCTATTTGTCAGTGATATGTCTATTATATTTTTCAAAATTGATAGGTTTTTGTATCACAGTGTGATATAGAAATATTTCTATTATGTGTCATTAGTATATTGTTATGGTAGGATCTTCAGTTTCGTGACTCATAATACAATTGTAACATGTAACATGAAAAGTTTTCATAATATGAAAACTTAAATTTAATTGGTTAAAACATTATACTTATAAAAATTTTATTAAAATATTATTAGTAATAAATATTATTCAAATATTAACTAACAAGTCAATAATTCTCGAACCGGTAATAACTTTATCACTCCAAGTTTTATTAGAATTACTAAATCAATAGTATACTCATCACAACTCTTAACTGCAATTCATGTATTTGTTTGGTTTGATTGAGCAATTATAACAGCTTTAACAACCTGACATACAAAAGTACCAAGTTTTTCAGTAATTACAGGATTTTTTCTTAAAATTTGTTGATCAGTTGTTTTTAGATGCAAATGAAGTAATTTCCACCATACATCCTTATTAATAAATTCATTTAATTTATCATCAGATATTTCTTCTTCCTTATATTTATAATTATTTAAATATTATTTATATATTTGTTAAATTTTAATAAATCACAATGCTTACAATTCATGTATTGATTTGAACTCTTTAGCAAGTTTTACAATACTTACATGAAGTTTATAGAGGTATGTATCATACCATCTATCAATATCTTTAAGTAATTATCCCATTCGAGGGTCTGCTTTAGTAATCTTGCATACATTTACAATTAATTCCTCATATAATGCTGTTGTATTGTTTCTTATTCAAAGAAAAAGAGCCTTATACTCCTCCTATAATTGAAATTTAGTATGCTAAATCCAAAATATTTAGTTAGTATAAATTTTACATAATAAAACTTTTATTACTATATATTGTATTACTTGACTAATTTTCGACAAGTTAGATATTGGATATTATGTAGAAATGGGAATTTGGAGTGTTTCAGATTCTTCTCCATTTACTAGTATACTAACCGCCATTGAATTTTGAATATCTATTGCTAAATTCAAAATTCTTTGATAATAAGTTACCTACAGGGCGATTTCAAACTCGTTAGACATCTTTTGAAATTGCGTTAGATGTTTTGGTTGTAAGTTATGTTTCTAGGAGTCACTCTCATCATCTATTAAAATTAAATTATTATTTATTATCATTCACAGTCTCAATATTCGTGTGGTGTAGTAAGATCAGTACATGAAATAATAAATATCTGATTTTCTTTCTTTCTAATCATTCTCTTCAATTTTATTTTTATTATATAAAGTGTTAACAGTGTCATAAGCATTTATTTTCAAAGTTTTCAGAACATTTAAAAATACAAAATGACAATCATTGGTTTTAATTCATAATCAACAATAATATACTCACTCTACTCACCACTTAAATCCGATTCACTTTCATCACTATTACTATCAATAATTATTTGCCTATCTTGTGTTTTCTTTGGTTGAAGTATAGAATTTAAGTTCTTGGTTTTTTTTATAATTATTTTCTGGTTTTTATTTTGACTATTATTTCTTGGGTTTTTCATAGTTGTGTTGGTAGGAATATCCAAATTAATAATTGCTTTGTTTTGAGCAATATCTGTATCAACTATAATATCAGTCTCATTCATAGAAGATCATATCTGATGCTTCTTTTTTATTATTTCTTTAGGTATAGTCACCGTCTTCCGCTTTGAAGGCATAGCTAAATGTATTTCATAAAAAAATATTAACAGAATTCGAATTCTTTAAAAAAAATTAATAAAGCCACAATAAATAAGTATTTATCATGAACTGATTAAAAAAGGCGTAAAATGGATTAATCAAACATTTAAGGTTGATTAAAAGACTCATCAGAACTATTTAATGATGATATCAAAGACTTTCTGCGTCATTATAGTACCTACAGTATATGTTTTATTCATTAAATTAGACTCATGATCATCTGATCACTCTGCACTTAATTTTTTTATAGATTGATATTTCTATTTATGGAAGACAATAGACTTTTACCCTATAAGAAATCGAAATAAGGAAATGATACGTTTTTTTTAAGGTTTGTATACGTAATTAATGATTCTATA